TTCGGGTTCGGTTCGACCTTAAATATTATGGTTCGTAACATCTCTAGTTTTTAATCATTTGAACATAAAAATAATATTGTAATCAATTTGTTAAAATTGTTTTCACAATTATTGTTTTACTGTGTATTCGTGTTTTTTTTATTTTTATTAAATTGTCAATACCTATCTAAAGTATAGTTAATATGGATGATATATTCGAACTAATTGAATTTGTGCAGTTTGCCAATGAAGATAACGCACCTAAAAGGTACATCAGGGATCAAGAAAACCCTGTAGAATTATTTTCTGATCTCCAATTTTACAAAAGATACAGGTAAGTATCTATTATAGGACTATTTATTGTACTTCTGTAAATATTTTACATTTTAATAATTATACAGTGAAATAAATACTTTTTAATAGATTCAACYGAACAAATGTAGGTACATTAAACACACATTGAATGTATTTTTAATTATTTTTTAATTTAGGTACTCTAAAGAAATAGTTATTGATATTATTATGCCATTAATAACTATTCATCACAATAATAATCGTGGTTTGCCTATCCCACCTATTCTTCAACTCCTAACAACACTGCGGTTTTACGCATTTTCAAACTTTCAAGTAGACGCTAATTTCAAGTCCCATTCAATTTTTTGTAAAATAAGTTTTGTTAATTTCAATTTAAGATTGTAAATGATGAATTAAGAGAAATTAACCAAGGAACTGTGTCAAGAATAATTAAAAATATATCTAAAATGTTGGCAAGTAATGTAAAAAATCATGTACATTTCCCTAGAAATATAGATGAATGGAATATTATAAAAGTTAAATTTTACCAAATGTACAAGATGCCTAGAATTGGAGGATGCATAGATTGTACGCACATACAAATACAAAATCCTGGAAGTCCTGATTCAGAAGTGTTCAGAAACAGAAAAGGCTACTTTTCTTTAAATGTTCAGGTATGCATTAATTAGTTATCAGGCATCAAAAAGTGGTTTTAAACCCAATCATARATAAAATATAAGTAATTATTTATTAAAAAGTTATTTTTTATACCCACTATATGTCTGTATACTAGGCTGTTTGTGGACCATCAATGGAATTTTTAGATATAGTTGTAAGATGACCAGGCAGTTACCATGATAGCTTTATATTTAGTGGAAGTCATGCAAACAAATACTTTTCTGAAAGTATAGACCACGTGTTATTGCTTGGAGATGGAGGTATGATTATATTTGTATATTAGCTAATGTACATATAGTTTAAATTTATATTTATCCTATAGGTAAGAGCCTTGAGAAATTTTTTAATTATGTTTCAGTTATAAATTAATCAGTTTTTCTTTTAATAGTTAACATTAAAAAGTTTATCGTAATGTTACGCTAATTATAATCATGAGATATTTTTTTAATTTTATTTTTTAACTATTCAATTTGATTATATATACTGTAACAATTATAATATGTTACATGATACCTAAATATATATATATTACTACACGTCTACACACTTAACATTATGTACGATGAACTGCCAGRGCCGGATTGGTATATCAGCCCATCGAGATTTTCACTTCTAAGCGGCCCATTTACATATTCACTGGCCCAAAATTTTGGTCTCTATAATTTTTTATTGGTTTATTATGTCCAAAATCGTTACGAACTTATTTACTTATCCTAACATGTATTTATTTTCACCCACACTCTGACACTACCGGCCCTAACTTTAAGCGGCCCACCGAGATTTTCTCGGTAGCTCGCCTAACCAATCCGGCCTGTGAACTGCTGACCAATACAATAATATTAACACACACTCATAACTGTAAGACCTATGGTCAATGCACACCATGTATGAAGTAAGTTAGTTCACTGTGTACCTTAGACCTCAACACTCAACAAACATCGAGTCAGATAGTTGGATAGAATATAATTTATATAACTTGTGATTATTATTATTTGTAAGTGTTTAATCTATAATAAAACTTAATGATAACTGAAACGGAATCCTAGTTATTTAAATATATTTAAGATCCTGTTATATATATATATATATATCTACCCCTGGCTACGGTAATTATATCTATAGAGTACAGTAAAAGAGAAATTACTTTTTAAACCAAGAAAATATTCTTATGTACAATCATATGTCCAAAGGGAACACAGGCTGATAAAAGAGCTACATACGGTMATATGTTAACATCACCAAAAATAACATGAAGGCCCTTCGAGAGGTTCACTATTGACTATATAGGGYCAATCAATCCACCAAGTAATGGATATTATTACATTCTAGTGGGCACCTGCGCAACTACGAAATATGCCATAGCGAAGGCATATAAACATGCCGACTCAAAATCAACGGTAGCTTTTCTCATAGATGTAATACTACAATTCGGGGCGATAGGGGAAGTGCATTCAGATAGAGGGCTTCACTTTACAAATAAATTGGTAAAAGACCTGTTAAAAGCACTAAATATACAAA